CAATGAAGGGCAACATTTAGGTCAAAGTTTAGCCTAAAGGAAACTGTACGGGAAAAATTCGTACTTCGTGACAAGTGCCGAAGGTTAAACGTGTCCCGACCACTTTAACACCGCTCGAGTGTCCGTTTAGTGTAGCAGAGACTTAGTTTAAACAATCAAAGGAGGTAGATTTTTCAAAATATCAACGAATCTCTTTGAGTCATGCAGCTGAAGTGTAGTAAACTCCGTGTACGAGTGTCTCTGAACTCTGCTTGATTCATAATAAAAATAGTATATTCCGTCCTTTAAATTACTCCATATGCAAAAAATGCAAAAAAAAAAATATTTCGCATGAAAATGAATGAGACCGATTAATCGATTAATAAAACGAATAAAGGGTGGCGATTAGTCGGGCAAAAGCTTTTATTCGCCGCCCAGCCCTAATTTATTCGCACAAAAAAATTTACGCATATTTGAAGCCAAAGATTTTAAATAAAGAAGGCTTAATTAGACCATATTTGCATGTAGAACCCAAGTTGCTCAAAGCAAGAAGTGGAGACACATTTTTTTATATGTATTTTATCTCCGGAACAACCATAAGCTCACGAAAACACCGTGTCATTTAAAGTGTTGTCAGACGTCAAGAAACAATGGCATGTGAGTGAAACTTTCGGTGTTTCATATCTATATGAGATCGTCAAATATTCTGAGATGTTTTGTTCAAATCCGTCAAACACCTAGAGAAATATAACCATTATTTAAAAGCCTTTTCTAAACAACTTTTGAAAGGCAATTAAGAAGTAAAATATTTGTGTTTCACCAATACGCTTAAACGTGTGATTAAAATATATCTGTTAGATATTTAGGATAGGGTAGACTTGCCATTCTTCAGCAGGGTGGTGTACTTGGAAATAACGCTTCGATGTGTTTACGGCGACTTTATTTATTTGGGTTGTTTCATTCACTACACAAGTGGTACAAAGACGTGGATCTTTAGAATTGCGCAGTTTTCACCAGAGTCACATATATATTTTTTAAAAGAATATTCCATCCTCTGTTGGGTGTGTGCATGAATGGAAAGGGAATATTAACCTGTTTGACTAAGACAGCTCCTCTAAGACCAGACCAGGGCAGAAGTATACAATTTTCTCTACTTAGAAGTCATTGAAAGCACCTTGACCGATTTGAACTCCTTTTGTAAAACACCGTCTCTAAGTCACAAGTTAAATGTAAAAGTTGACAAGCTCCTAGAGCGTGTAACCTTAAAGGTAAACGCAGAGCCCTATTGGTAAAATAAATACAAAGGACAAGCAACCCGGGTGTTGTTTTAATTAATACAATGCTTGAACTCGTGCCCAATACTAGAATACAGTCCAAATGTATAGATAGTCAGAAAATACGCGGAATCAAAAGATATACTCGCTGTGGAATTGGCCGAAAATGCCGGCGTCGAAGGTACACTTCGCAGCGCTGTAACTTTGAACGAAACAAAATTATGAAACGTGTTTGTTTTTATGAATAAACACAGGAGCCTGGTGGAAAACTACCACTATACGTTTAAAAAAAATCGAAGATAGCTCTCTTTTTTTTTAATTGCCCCTTGAAATTTCTTAGTTTAGTAATTTAGAGCAAGTTTGCAGCGACATAACAATTGTAGTTGTTTCGTTGAAAACGTCTTATTTCGGTATAGGAGGGTAAGACGCGGCTGGCTGCATGCCTTGCCGTGAAGGGGAAGGGGAGAGGGATATGGAGGAGGGGAGGAGAGGAAGAACTATGTGAGGCGGGCTATACCAGCCGTTGTGATGTAATCCAACAGCGAGTCAAAGACAAGCTCCCTTGCTTCATTTGGGCCTATTGGTGCCGTCCAAGCCTCGAGCGTCTTAGGTTGACTCGCTGGGCTGAGCTTGGCTAGTGCAGCCTCCCTCTCCTGTCGTCTTGCTGAGCACTCCCACAGCAGGTGATGCAGGGTGCCGAGAGGAACCGAAGGATAGTCGTTAGAGGCTGTATCGGGGGTGACGCCTACGGTCCGCTCGGGTTGAGGTGGAGTGGAGCTGGTAGAGCAACGGTCACAACCGGCATGTTCCGGGGAACGTAGTCCAAAGCGGGCGAGGCTGTGTGGTGTCCAAGCGCAGCTGGTCACGATACGACGAAGTCGGACTTCCGTCGCCCGCGGATATCCCCGTGGAATTGGGACCGCGCACTCAGGTAACCGGGTGGACAGGCGCCGCCTGGCCTCGGTGCAGGGGTGCGGTGGTGGTGAGGTGTCAGTGCTTGTGTCCGAGCCGGAAGTTGAATCATCCAAAAGGCGTAGCTACGGCTGACCGGTCGAGCGGTAAGACAAGGACGCCTTTGCCAGCCGGTGTGCTGCTTCGTTACCTTGGATACCCGCGTAGCCCGGAACTCAGACAAACTTGATCTTTACAGTAGGCCCCAGAACCACCTCAAGCCCCACCATTGCCGGGCGGATGGAGGAAACTTGTGGAGATCGAGGGCAGGTGACAGTAGGTGACACCAGCTACCACCCCATAATAAAACACGGAGCTATCGCTCGTCCAGCCCTCGTCAAACTTGGCTAGGTACTTGTAGGTACCTAGTAGGGAAGGGCGGTTAACTTTTAACCGCGGTTAAAGTTAACCGGCTTCGAGGAAACGGGCCCTGGTAACAAGTAATCGTTTCGAAGTTACTGCAAATCACCGAAATTAATTTTGGTGTAAACAAGATTAATTTCAGACCATACGGACGAATGCGCGAAAGATGGGCCCGGGGAGTCTTTTACGGAACCGACCCATTAGATTCGCCTGAAGACCTATTGAGGGAACTCTCGTGCCATACGCATAAACTCCTGGCAGCCAGGCTCATGGATCGAGAAGGGAGTGCTGTTGTAACCACCGTCGAGGGTTCCACATTTCCCACAGAAAGGTTTATCGCCTCCACGTCAAAAAAGTGGTGCCCTTCAGAGCAATGGCCATAATATCCACTCGCTGCCACCAACTTGGCCACCCGCATAACGCGTGCCGAGCAGCGCAGGCCGTCTGTGTCTGCGGACGACCACCCCATCGCCATGAGAGAGATGGCTGTCACGAAAACCATCAATGCGGCCATACGTGGGGGTCCTCACCTCGCGACCGACGGTATCTGTTCGAGGATGCAGAAGGCCTCAACAGAACGTCGTAAGCGGTGGACTGCTCCGCCACAGCGCAGGGGGCAACAGCCACAAAGTACAACGCTGTACACCAAACCGCCTCCACCTCCCTTTGCCAAAGACCATTAAGAAACGGAGGATGCGTGGCCGGCCCTAAATACACTGCCGCCACTACAGCGGTCTTTAAAGGCCCTGTTGCTTCCGCGTGCCCCGGCGTGGTCGCACCCGACCCCACTGGGTCTCCAAACAATTCTTGATAGAGTCCCGCCACATAGACCTCCACCACCGTCAGCAGAGTACACCGCCAGGACAAGGACCGTTAATCCACGCCCACATCGACGAAATGTAAAAACCTCCGCCATGAAACCCATTTCTGAGAAAAAAAGATTCATCCCCAACACGCATCGAGCAGTCGATCTTGAAAACCGTCACGCTTGTTGTTGCAACAATCGAGAAAATCAATAACCTCACAGCCCTTATAGCAACCTTCCTCATCGGCCACCCCCCCCCCCCCCCCCCCCCCCCGCAGTCGTCGTGCCCAGCAGTAGGCAGCAGCACAGGCCGCGTTGACTCTGCACTAACCGGCCAGCAAAAGGATCCTTCTGGCCCTGAAGTAAGAGTATTACTGTGGAATTGTCACTCCTACCAACAGCAAGGTCCGGAACTCAAAAGCGGCTGGCAGCAAGCGCCAACCCTTCCAGCATGATCCTACAACAGGAAGCCCGAGTGAACGAGCTTCACATCGCCGGCTACCCAGCCTTCAGTACCCCTACCATCGTCGTCACCCAGAAGGGTTCACGGGAAAAAAAAAAAAAGCACAGGGAGCCCTTCCTACACCGCAAGCCTATGCTCACGTGCTGGTCAAGAAATAAAAATTCCAATCTTTCAGATAAAACAATTCGGTATGTATCATATCGAAAGCACATTTTAATAAGAATTTTTGACATATATTTTATTCTTTTAGCCATTTAATTTTCGTAGGAAACGGCTCAGAAATCTAATGACAAACCGTCAAAGGAGCCATATTTGCGAATTTATAACTTGAAATATATAACATCTACAGTGCTGCACATATTTCACTTTATATTACTCTGTCTAATATAATTAAGTGCGAGATAGTCAAGATTTCTGACAGTTATAGTTTGCGTAGTAGGTGTCATTAAACATGACATAAGCAAAAACTTCAAAAATCGAATCTTCCGTTCTGTCGCACTCAAAATTGCTTTTCTGTTTAAATATTATTTGTCTCAAAATCTTTTTGTTGCGTTCTCTACACATGTTGAGAAAAAACATATAAAAAACTAACGAGAAAAAAAAACATCCGGACTGGCGTGTATGATCTTCTATGAACAGAGCCAGTGACCACTTTATTTATCATGTTTAACTGAACATTTTAATATAAATCTAACGTCAGTACTGTGATACAAGACCATGAGGTTTTACAATACTGCCGCGACAGGGCCCTTAAAACTCCCTTCTCTTGAAACTGTACAACTGAAGCGACAACCGGACTGACGTGCCGCATTCATCTGGAAAGTAATGTAGCTGTATAAACATTGCTTGTGTATTGACACATAATCGGATAGTACCGCTTGCCTAGGGCTCGTCTCGCTCAACGTAATTTTCAATACTGCAGTTGTGAACCTGGTCTTTGTTTCTAGCAATAAACAGCTGCAGGTGCAACCTGCCATGAGCTCTGCTAAAATTAAGTCAGCGTTAACTTTTATGGTTTGATATTTTTTCTGTTGCTCTTCTTACACGTTTGCGAAAAGTACGCTCGATGGCGCGAGCTCTGCTCTGCAACCAGGTGGTATCTACAGCTTTCCTCTACGAAGCTTGGAGCAAATTTAACGATATTTATGCTTTCGTTCTGGTTTAGACGCACTTGAGTTTCGGCCTCGTGATGAGGGTGTGGTACTTGGATCAAAACGACCGCACACTAACTACCCGGGACTTGTATGAATCCCTAAACATCAGGGCGTACAGCGTAAGTTCAGCAAAATCCTATTTTGAATTTGAACCGCTACGACCACGTTACATATTACGAGGTAATGGTTCTATTTTTGATGTGGGAATTTCTGACATGGGATATGAAGTTCTCTCTTTCTGACCAAGGTGACGTCGGTTTTCCTAGTAAACACAACTAATTTAGAGGGTGGCCATCTATGGCGGATTATGTAAGCCTATACGAATACATCTTATAATAATATGCTAATATAGCCTTCGACGACCAAACATAAGATGTATACGTAAAATGTATAAAATGTTTCAACACGCTATTTAAGTAGAGATGCGAAATTGTTCGGACGTCTTGGAACACTCTGTGATCTGCCATCTTCGTTGCGGCGAGAATCCTCTGCTGTGTCTCAATTTCGTAGCGTTGTCGGTAGCAATTCGAGTTCTACTGCTCACCGTCATGGATTCCCACCCACGCCTGTTGCGAGCTAAGAGTTAGTAGTGTTTCAGGTTCTCTTTGCGCACATACGTGCACTTCGTTCAGCCCGTCGCTGGTTTCTCTCCGCAAGAAGCATGGCAGACGCACACATGAGCTAAAAATGTGTCTTTGAGTGCCGTCAAAGGCACAGGGGCTGACGCCCAGTCTTCCAAAGTGCTCTCTCTGCGCAAGTGTTTGTGCGATCGAACGATTCCCCTCAGCTACGCTTTCGTTCCCTGGCCTTTGCTAGCTTCAGCGCCCCACTAGATGGCACTGTGCATTTCGCGTATGGTCTACACTGTAATGTTTGTTTTCCACTTAATATGTATTATTGGCATTTCCTTTGATTTTGTATTCCATAACAAATTAGGTTCCAAGCGTGAAGTTCGCCCCTGCTGCACTTCGGTTGTTTTATTTCTTAAATTATTATAAATTAAAAAAATTATATATATGTATATATATATATATATATATATATATATATATATATATATATATATATATATATATATATATATATATATATATATATATATAGGGTGTTTCAAAGAACGCAGGCAAAATCGCTCCTGCGAAAACTACTCATCGCAACAAAAAAAGGCTTGTGGCGCTTTGGTCCTGGGCCAGGGGCCCATTTAGGAAAATTATTAGTCCGGGATAATTATGTTGTGAATTATTTTTGCGTAATTAACTTTTTTAATAGTGTGGTTTAAATTAGAAAATTGCTCAGGATTATTGAAGAACACTCAATCAACAAATAGCAGAACGATAGAAGGCGCGCGAAGCATTTTACGGTTTTCTGAAAAACTGCACGAAATCGACGGGTTTTTAGGTTTCGCTTTGCCATCAGAGCGCATCTCCGCCCCGAAGGCACCGCGCCCCGCGAAGAGATAGTGCAACCAACCTCTGCTGCGCTGTCATCGCGCGACGGAGCAGAGTCTGGTTGCACTATCTCTTAACGCGGCGCGGTGCTGCCAGGGCCGAGATGCGCTCCGATTGAAAACCGAAACCTAAGAACCCGTCGATTACGTGCTGTTTTTCAGAAAACCGTAAAATGCTTCGCGTGCCTTCTATCGTTCTGCAATTTATTCGTTTAGTGTTTTTCAATAATGCTGTGCAATTTTGTAATTTAATCCATGCCCTTAAACACAATATTAAAGAGGTTAATTACGCTAAAATAATTAACAACTTAATTATCCCGGACTTTCGTAATTTTCTTAAATAGGCCCCTGGCCCAGGACCCAAACGCCACAAGCCTCTTTTCGTTGCGATGAGTAGTTTTCGCAGAAGCGATTTGGCCTGCGTTTTCTGAAACACCTTATATATATATATATATATATATATCATCAAAAGAACATTCCCAAAATGAAACCGGTAAGCAATAAATATTTATATACCTGTGTAATAATAATCCGTTTTCCTGCAACTCGAAGATTGTATGATCATTCTCACGTGTGCAGTTCCCTATGCAGAAAACCCCATCCCTCCAAAGACATTTATCTATGTAAAAGACGCGCCCCGAAAGCTGCATATATTTTACTGTCATTTTTCTTGTACCAGAACAATAAGTAATGCTTACATGCCCACGCGTTTTGTTGCAAAGGCCTCCGGAATAGAAGACGGAGAGAGGGAGCTCAATGCGTTAATGGAAGAGACAGGCTGGCGTACTGTACTGGAATATGTGAGGGAGCCTAATGGCAGCAACGAGGGAATACCGGTAAGATGTTTATTTTTAATTTCTTTTCTATCTGCATTAGACGTAACGAAAAAAAGCATATCAAGGGGCAGAAAGAGAAGCCCGCAATTAAACGTCCTTACGTCCCTGATATTAAGAGATGGGGACATGAAAGTGTCCGACATAAAAATATTCCAACCACTGGATGTTTAGTATTCTATAACTTTCGAATTTTAAGGACTTCCTCGTCAGCACTCCTGTGCGACTTCTATTCAGTATAATCTAAACGAACGTTATGCCGACAATAACAACTTATTTTTCTATGAACATCTCTATTTCGTTTATCCCGAAATAAATGTCGTTAAACTTAGCTGGTTTAAGTCATAGAATCTAATTAACCCTCCGCAGCCACTGAGATTGCAGCATGTTGAGCAAGCTGAAGAACAAATCAAAGCAGGAAGTGTGAACATCATAAGTAACACCTTGCAGTTTCTCAGCATTCATTAAATACAAAGGAGTATAAAGTTGTACGTTAATAATGTTTTTGAAGTTTATGTTGTAACCAAAGTTAGGCTGCTCTTGGGATCTCCTCATTTAATTTAAAAGTTCTGAACTCGTCTGCATGGAAGCCGTGGAATTCGGACAGTTGCACATTTCCAACAAAATTCTTCACAAGTAACGAACATTATCTTTTCTTTTCTCACAAAGCCGCAGGCTTTAGGACACGAACATAAACATTCCTTTCCGGAGGTGCATTACGTCAAGCAGGGCACTTGTTCATTTGACATGCGGGACCCCCAAGACATGTGGGTTCGCATGGAAATGGTGCCTGGAGACCACTTCGTCCTGCCTTCGAACTTAAATCACAGATTTAATCCTACTTCGATAAAGGTACAGCAATACCAAAATTCACTACGTGTAATATTTCGTACATTTCTATCTACATTGATGGTGGAGCTCGCGGGAAAAAGCTGTGAAATACACCTTGACAAGGCCCTACATAGGCACAACAGCAGAGGTACAGGAAAAAATGCTACTTCATGAGAAACTGCGACACAGGTAGATAATATACGCACACAACACGCAAATAAAAAAAATATTAAATAATCCTGGAAATATCCAACAAACCGCCACATCACTGGTATTTTACCTATCTAGGCTTACAAAATATTCTCTAAGTTGCTTAAATGACATCCTTATCAGATCAGACTCACTAGCATCAAACTGGTTTAGCCATTGAGGCAGCGTATATCTCATCATCTGAGAGTCGTAATTTGTCCTCCGCGCTACCATTTCCCAATGTTTTCCCTGGCGAGTGGGGTGAACCGATTCCTTTACAAATAGATTTCGCAAATTTGTAACAAAACGCGTGTTTCTGTAGATCTCCAATTTGAATGGGCGTATAATTCAGTTTCCCGCGTATTTCAGGAGGTGACCATTATCCTTCAAATTGTTCCTGAAGACTACGTTAATATTACTGAATTCAGAAAAGCCTAAGCGGACACCCAAGAGCAAGCTGCCTGTGCATCAATACAAGGAATATTAGTATGGTAACGGTTCCTCCAAATACACGAAATAAATGTCCAGAGCGGCTTTATTTTATTTGTTTCCGATGAGTACTGGTTTCACCACATCAAAACACGATTCACGCGATTGCATAACATGGTCCTGCCTTGTGCGTTCATTAAAATTGCCTAACCTGCTAGAGCACTTTTAAACCTGCGCTGCATGGAGCTTAGACTTGGTAGGTATAATAACAACACTTATAATAATGAATTAATGACATGGGCAAGTCCTTTCACTTCTGTGAGTGGCAGCCGAGTGATCCTGTTTGTGAAACATTCATATCAAAGTATAAACATAAAGAACATGATAAGTTATATTTCTACATATCAGCGAATTGCTGGATTTATTATAGATTATAGGGTAACACAGTACAGTTAGACATCCTAAGCTTTATAAATGCATAAAATTTGTATCAAAATCGATTCACATAACATACTATGTTTACAATCATTCACGAAGTGACTCTATCGGCGCACAAAAAAAAATGAAAAGCTGCTTTTACTTGATAGCAAGCATAAACAATATCTTCAGCCGTTTCTTTCACCTAACCGCAAAATCCATATAGGTGGGACTCAATCGTCCGGTCGTAATGCCTGCGATACGCAGAGACTCCGGCTGTGGGCGCACCAGTCATCTCTCGGTCGAGGGGTGAACTGGTCTGGTTACATGAGAACTGCCGCACACGCGGATACACTCACCATTTTTCCACTGAAAGGGTGAACTAGAATTTTCGGACTAGCACAACGCCGCCGCAAATGTGGCTGAGAAGTCTATGATAGCCATACCTGTAGAAATGCACTGTATATAGAAGCGGTCAGACGCTTTGTAGAAGAGATACGTGGTAGGATCGAAATAAATTACGAACTGTGGAAATGCGGTATATTAGGATTCATTTTGTATTCCAACCTCGTTTAAATGTGCCACGTATCCAGAAAAATCTAGTTCCCTATTCAAAACACCAATAAAATACGATCGATTAGGTTCGTGCTCAAACGTAATGCAAGAGTGGTACATAACTGTTTTCTCTAAAACGCGTTTAACTTTCTTTTATTCAAGTTGACAATTCAAAGCTATCTCTGAACGAGTCTATTCAAAATGCTTGAAAACATCGGCTAATTCAAATATTTTAGAAGCTTCAAGATGCCAGCTGTAGAAGTACACTGAAGGTAACCAATTCTCTCTGTCGTAGGTAACGTTTCAAGAGATCAGTACACGTAAGAAATAAAACAGAAGACAACTCAGCTGTTGGGACACATTGTATATTCCAATATTTCTGCGAAATTTGCTTTGAAAACGGCGCTATTGTTTCGTGGATACGTCAATATATATGCGGGACCTTCGGCTTCACCCATTCGAAAAGGCTGCCGTGGTTGTTGGGTTGCCGACGTCGCCTGCCCAATGCACGGCGTCCCCTTGCACGCACTCAGAGTCTTGACTTTCCCAGCGTCTCAAGCATCAGGCGGCTCGTGTACCTTCCGATTTTCTAGCATGCGGTTCGTGACGATTACGTCTGTGGCATCGGTTGCTTTATCGAAGTCTTCGAGACTAATCGCAGCAGAGATGAGAGTGAGTGTTAAAAGAGATGTTGGAAGCTGGTCATTGTGACTGCGACACACTGGCGATCAGCTCCAGCCAGGGTGGCCAGATGCGGCCCAGCGAATAAGCAAATAGTCGTCCCCAACCAAGCCCAAAAAAGCGGCGTGACCTTCGTGAAGAAGCCCAAAACAAGCGAAAGTTCAATAAATGTACACATTCTTGAAAATAGTTTAATATTAATAAAATGAGAAAGAGAACTGGCTCAAATGCGAAGAACTCGCTCAAATACGAAGTCAACGTGCCATGCCACTATCCGCCGTATAGTGGCATGGCACGCTGAGTAACATGCTATTGAGCCTCCCTATAACATGCCAGCTTGAGCTCCAGTTCTGGTATCGTTCTTGGAGGCGACGACTTGGTGAAGCCCATGGTAGTCAAACGTGCACTGGAAAGTAGTCGAGAGTTCCTCACGTGTTTTTCTGTTGCCATTTGGTGAACGAGGTTGGCATGTTGAGCTCGGATCTCGCACTTGCAGTACTTCCACGCTGCTTTTTTGTATCGTCTTCGGTGAATGGTCGTAGCCAGTCCTTAAGCTGTGTTTCCTTTTCCCACTCTTTACAATATCTTTTGCCATACTTCGATCACTTCGAAGCCATTCTGCGCAAAATACAATGGCAACTAGACACGACGACCGCGACTGCCGACTTGCAAGATGGGCAAGGCGCCAAAACATTTGTGAATGGATAGTAATTGTTTTGTACTTTGTAACGGACGGTAGCTTGCGCCACCTAACCGCGGCGCCAAACAGTCATGCTGCTTTTCGCGTTTTTGACGACAAACGCGCTGTCAATGAGCCATGACTAGGAATAAAATAACAATATTTGCGGGAAAAACGCATATAAGCCCAAAAAACTCGACAAGCGACTCGGTGAAAAAAGAAGCCCAAATCCGCTTATAATAAGCGGCACTGGCCACCCTGGTTCCAGCGACGAAGAATCACGGACGAGCTCGCCGTGGTCGCCATCGTCTGTGAAAATCTCGCAGGTGCTTGCAGGGTGAAAGGTCAAAGTGCCGTGGGCGAGAGCAAGCAGATTCTAGGAGTAGCCGATTTGCGTGAGCGGTTCTGATCGTACCATGGGGTGGAAAGCTTGGGCGTTCATGACCACGAGGTTTATGGGCACCATGCAGCAACTACCATCGTCAGTGTTGCCTGGTGGCCAGATTGAAATTATCAAATTTATAAATAAATTATTGCAGTTACTAGAGCTCTAAAAATCACTAAACTTGGTGTATCTCCTACTACCCTATGGTCACTTCATTTCAAAAATCATTATACCCGCTTAACGTTCGCGTCCTAACCCCGTTAAGCCAGCCAGAAAGTATAAGTAGCAATCAACAGGCTTAAGACCTTTTCTTTTTGAACCAGCATAAAGTGGCTATTTAGTCCAATCCTTACCTTAATGAAATGTGAACGCCATCGTCTTGTTTCTTGAGGCCTGCTTTAGAATTGAAAAGATTGGTCAACGTTCCTAATCTCATTTGCCGAGTTTAGTTTGACATAACATCCTGGAATACTTACACAGTTCAAGAGCGCAATAGGTTGTCGTTTTGATTGCCTTCAACCGACCTGCGTCTAAAGCTCACGTGAAGGTAGCTGACGTCATTACGTACAGCTTTGCAAAAATAACGGACATCATAGGCATACCATTGGCAGGCGCAAGCTTGTTGACAAAAATGCGTGTTTTTGTCCCAATTGCTGAAAACTATTTCAGACATTACCGTGTCATCATGCTATTCCTCATGTTTTAAAAAGAAACACATAGTTGTTAGAAAGTCACAAATGTAAGCTTAGTTTAGGGGTTTAGGGGTTGATCCTTATATCTGTATCGCTCATATTTTACGCCATATAGGCTTTCCATGAGTCCGGACTGAGGGCAGTTTATCTACAGCGTAACGTCAAGGGTCTCAATAAAGATTTGTGCAAATGATTTAACAAGCAGAACAAAGGTGTGCCCAACCTGAAAATCTGCCTGGTGATTAAATTTCATAAAGATTAATCGTATTCCTTGAAGGGGGAACTCTGCCGATTTTTTAGCTACCTAACACCAAAACGTCATACGAATGCGGATGGCTTCCTGATTTTAAATGATATCCCGTACCCAAGACTCGCACTAGTTAATTAAAATAGTGTTATTTTGTTCGCTGCCGAAACGTAAACATCGTTCCCTCCACATTTCCCCCCCGTTTTCGCCGCCATCCAAACGCGACGGTCACCGGCGGGCGCCAAGGCGAGGGGCTGGCAGTCGGGTACGCTCGCACCAGCCTTTCTCGCGTCTAAAAGCGTGAAAAGAGAGGCGTTCGTTCTATCAGAAGTTGATAATAATCTGCAGTTGAACAAGGTATGACCTTGGCCTACCTGCTGAACTATGAGAAAGTAGAAAATCGGAAGCAATTGAGATGTTGAGAAAATCATTTTTGCAGCTATTTACGCTCAAGCCGCGCCTCGATAGTTTCATGAAATCGCCAAAATATTGTTCTCCTTCTATCAGAAGCTGGCACTTACGCTAGCGAAGAAAGGTCGAAGATTCACGCAATACATTTTTGACAAATTACCTAAGCACCACTGAGAATGCTCGGAATATAGATAAAGGTACCCCACATCTCGTCTTACCTGAAGGAACGTGCCATTTGTTTTAGATTTTCTTCAGAAAAAAAAAATATAACAAATACAGACGTTTTCGCTACCTCTTCTGCGAGAGAATTGCACGCTAACCATTTGACAAACCAGGCAAGCGATATATCGCATATTAGGAGAGCTCAACACCTGCTCCCTAAACCTCTGTAAAGCCACACTCTTAGAAATAGAAGGTGCATAGGGGTATACCCCTTTTCCCAGTGTACGCGTCGTAGTTTCGCTTCGCTGGGTTTCTCACCGGATACCTTAGGGAGCGGCCACGGGGCGGCGCGCTGGTCGCGTCGGACGGAGTGTATATGCCACCGTCATCATTTAAAAGTGCGTTTGAAGTTCGTGTCCATCACAGTAAAAATGGCAGCTATGAGAACTACACTTTATTAAATTTTAGGATTTGTCGGATTTTTAGATAATCTGGATTGTTGCACGCCGCAGTTTCTAATTTTTTACAGCCTACTCGACCCGTGAGTTTATAATACCACATTTGTTTTGGATAACCACAGAAATTATATTTATGTTAAAAAAAATTGTACCGCTCCCAGTGGTTACCTTAAAAACTATATAACACTATAACTGACGGTGAAGACTACAAACACTGACCAACAGTGCCTTAATCAGATTCTTAAACTTCATCCTTTTAAACTACCCTAGCATGTTACTTTGTCGTTCAACTAAGTGCACTACAACCAGATAATTCTGAACC